AGTGATACAGAACCCATTGAAACAGTGTGTTCTTTCCTTCACTGATCCACCTGTTAAAGCAGTGAAACAGTGACATAAACACAGGGACAGAGTATATTTAAATTTTACAATACACTACCATTTAATAAATGATTAAGAAAGGCTACCACTGACAGACAGTACATTGACTGTTTTTGTTTTATATAACTGCTGTTGTCAGGACTCAGTAGCGTTGAGCAGTCAATTCAACAGAATTTCAGCATTTAGGATATTTCTTTATCCATAATATCTTTGGTAGACAACAAACTACATAACTGTGTCGCAGGGAAAATCAATGTGTTGTATGTTTGTAAGGAACACTACTATTGAGCTGGTAAATTTGAGGTATAAAAACAAAAAAACCTTTGGAAGCATATCAGGAAAAGTTTATTATGGACAATTATTGCTAACAATTTTATTTACATCTTTAATGTTGGCATTACAACAAGCTTAAAATGAAGATGCATACCTCTCACAGAGAAAAGAGGAGTCGCCCAGATAAGAACGAACATCCTGATTCGATGATTCAGTCAGTCACTCTCTCCCGTCACAAGATTTCTTTTCAGAGGCACAAACATATTGAAATGTTGCAGTTGAGAAACTGGACACCTCCATCACTGACAGCGTGGATTTAAATACATGTTGCATTTTCACATTAATAATGTGGTAATTTTAAGCAGTTTTTAATACATATATGTATCTGTTCAGCACAACTGATAAATAAATATCTGCTCTGAAATATACTCCTGCACAACCCAGACTGTCCCAAATAAATGCATTTTTTATTAACAAAATATATTTTAAATATAAATGTTTCTTTTACCTTTTTATCTTATTCTCCTGCTCCTTTGTCTCCTCAGTAACCTGCTGCTCAGTGTCTCTGCTCTGAACTCACTACAAGTTTCCGGAAAGTTTCTCTACATACATGCTGGCCCTCCTTAGACTGCCACACCTATAGCTAAAATCTCATCTCATGTATATGTAATATATCAAGTTGGCAACACTGAATAATAAAATGAAAAGAGTCTTGATATTTGTTGAATAATTTACATGACTGTGAAACTGAGAAACTATGAGAAAGAGGAAGTACCATAAATATAACATATAATACATAAAATAGAAACCAACTATCTAAAAACTATCATATTTTGCAATGCATAATACATGTGTGTGCATAGTAACATGAATGAATTTTGAATGAGGTTTGTATTACTGGTTAACATCTGCAGCCCCAGTGAAATAAAAATGGTCATGGTCAAAGAGAGACATTATTTTAAGGATTAGTTTATTCATGTATGAAACAATTTTAATCCAAGTTCTTAATGTCAACTACATGCAGCCTCTCTACAACATTTTGCAGTTTTTATTGTCTGATGGTTTATTGCACAAAATCTTGTGCAAAAAAGTTGTGTTCTCAGAAATGCAGAAATGGTAATAATTTAAACATTTCCTCACTGTATTGTCTCTAATAACTTCCTCCTCACACTTTGAGGTGCTAGATTATACTTTTTTAGCTACAAACTGGCTTGCATGTTTCTCTTTACCAGTGTTACATGCTAAGCAGGGGCTGTTGTGTTTTCTTCCTGCTTCTTTTTCTCTGCCATTAGATAACATTAACAGGGCTTTAGAGACAAATTGAGCCAAACATTTAATCAGTTTAAAAAAGCACAATTACAATTCTTCATTTTTTCATACAAAAATGTATGCATACATTTACACCAGTTTTGCATCAAAATGGGTTGCTGCAATTGTTCCTGCTATACATACAGACCCCGAAGAGAACAGAAAGCAATTCCAATGTAAGAGATGAGTGACAAAATTGACAGTCCTCAATCTGTTAAAATGTTTCCACAAGTTCAGCTGAAGCTCTTTAGTACCACAGAAAATGGAGCGAAGACTGCGAGCTAGTTCAGGCAGTCAAACTCGAGCTGTGCTGCTATACACACTGACATGCCTTATCCATATTCACTAACCAAGCGCACCCTTCCAATCTGGCGGTCTATTTAAGCTACAAAATTTCCCAGCTCTCTGTCTGCTCTGTCAATGCGCTGTTGCCTTTGCATCACATCGCTGCTGCTGCTGCTGCTGCTACTGCTCTGTAAGCTATTGCCTCCTGCTGCGCTGTAAGCCCCACCACCACCCCAGCATCCACCTGTAGACTCTGGCTAGGGGTTAAGGTATTTGCGCATCACTCCCCAATATCTCTATTGTCCAAACCGGGCAATAACGGCCGTGACAAAAAAAGAGGGAGACGCACACAACAAAGTATTAAAAGTACCTGCACAGAAGACAAGCCACACAACCAGGAACAGGAAGATGAGGTGGAGTGGGTCGTCACACTATGTAAACATATCTGCAAGGGAGTGATGAGGTCAAGAGCCTAGACGCCAAAATCTAAATATGCTATACTGCTTTAATAAACATTTGAGACAACGTGTGTTGTCTGACTGAACTGTACTTATTATTTGTTTAACTCAGTTCTCTTAAAGCCTCCTATTTACTATGATTGGTCTTTGAAATGCATTTTAGGCTGTAGATTTTGTCCCTATCTCTGTCATTGGATTTGCTTAAAGACCGGACCCATTTTGTCCAATTTTGTCCTGTTTCTATGATTCTCTTTTCCCCTATTTTTCATTTACTTGCAGGCTTTATATGTATTGTATGACCATTGTTGAAGAGAGCCAGAGAACAAATAATTTTCATTGACAAGACTTCATCAATATGATTGTTGTTCATATGACAAATAAAAGAAGTGGGCCTTTTTTTACAAAAATCATGTTACTATTGTACTGAGATAAACTGACACACTAAATGGAAATGAAACAGGAGTACAATCTTGTGAAACTGCAGCCATACATTGAGCTAAATGCTAATGTCAGCATATTAACATGCTCACAATGACAATGTTAACATGCTGACTATGTATAATGTTTATTATGTTCACTGTCTTAGTTTAGCATGTTAGCATTTGCAAATGGCATTAAAGACAAAAAAAGCTGAAGCAGATGGGAATGCTCCATTATCTCAAAAGTGAACTTTTGAGTTAATGATGGCACTAGATCAAACTTTTAGGGATTACTAAATGAAATCAATTTAATCTGAGATGGACAAAAATGTCTGCACCAGATTTCAGGGCAATCTAACCAATAGTTGTTTAGACATTTCAATCAAAACCACATGTCAAACTCATGGTGGTGCAACCACCTTTAAAAAGCAAGTTGCAGTTGCACTATGAAAAAAAAAGTCATTGGGATACATTTATGGTCCCCATGAATGTCTGTACATGTCTGTGGGAATGGGAATTCATCCAATAGTTAAGATATTTCTGTCTTAACCAAAATAATCTGAAAAACCAACCAACAGACAAATCTTTGCCATTATTAGTGCCACGCTGAAAAAGAGACACCATCATTACAAAGGGTGTAAGTGACAATTAATTTTAGCCTGAGTCAGAGAAATGTGGGGAGGGTTTTGGGCTGATTTATCCTCAAGAAACTCCACAAGGCAACATCGTCCTCAAATCTCACCCATTATATCCTTCACACTGGAGTAAACTGCTGCGTCCTCCCCTTCATCCTCTTCCGGGACATGTTGTTTTATCTCCTCATCCTCCTCTATCATTGCCTCCTCTTTGCCATCCAACACTTCATTTCCTTCTTCCTCTCCGCCTCTTCCTTCCTCTTCTCTTTCCTCTTTTACTGCTTTCTTAATTTCAGCATACTCTGTGGTCTCTTGTGTGTTTGCTGCCTCCCTGGGACTCCTCCTTTTCAACACTGAGAAATCAATGGTGGCATACTCGACATCTTCCACTGCTTGACCAACATCGATCTGACAGGTACAACATAAATTATATGATACATTCAGCAGCTGCTACAAGAACCAAACTTCTGTACAATATACATGAAATCTGTAATTTAGATATTTACATTACTGCCAACCATATTCATCAAGCCAAAATCTTTTTACATTTCTTGTTTATGTTCTAGTGTCCATTCATTTCTATAAAAAACACAGCTTTGTTTGAGATGCCATAATCCATCACAATGTGTATCTGCTTTTAAGATTGTTATTAACTGTGTTAATGCAATGAGTTGTGCTTGCTTGAGTTGACTGGATGGGCTGCTTCATGCATGCTCTTCTGCAAAATCTATATGACAATTTTCTATTTATGGTTAAATCATAAATGAATTGTGTCTGACTGAATTATTAAACAATGAAAGCCACATTCATACATCTAAAATACTACATTTAAAACTGGGACAAATCTGAATTAAACAATTATTATATTAATAAAATATACAATATTAGTTGAATGGATATGAATACCAGTGGATTCTTTTGATTGGTCACCATCTCCAGAGTTTCATCCAAATTTCCACAGCTCTCTAGTTTTCTTCTGCAAAATAATGTATTCAAATAGTAACAGATTAAAATGTTAAAAGGTTGTCTTTAAACAAAACCAGGAATGAATTACTAATTAATGAACGGTGTACCTGTGGTATTTTTTTACCAAACAGCAAATGACTGCTGAAAGAAGTACCCCAATAAAAAAGGCAATGACAACTTCCAGCCACGAAACAATGTTTAAGACTGCTCTGGATTGATCTGCAATCAAGAGGAATAAAAGAAAAAATTTTCATGTTGTTCTCAACAAAAAATATACATGCAATAACCTGTTGTTTGTTGTCCAAATACAAAGTTTACAGTGAAAGAGATACTAAAAAATGGCAAAGCAGTGGTTTTAGAGTAGCAGAAGGGGTTTTAGCTGAGAAATGTTACCCTCTTGTTCGGAAGTGTCTGTTTGAACTGTGAGGTTTTCTTTTGCTTCCCCAATTTCATTGCTGCTGACACAATCAACAACAGTGTTGCTATGGTGTTTTACGCTTAGGCTGACGGTGCTGTTGACTGTGTGGTTTGACACAGTGGTAATGAAAGAGTACTCAGTGTGGTTCTTCAACAGCGGCCATCTGATGGTGGGTAAAGGCAACCCCTCACTGATACACACACAGGTCCGGACCTTCGATTGAACCTTACATCCAGAGTGTTTTAAGATCTTTGGGAACACTGTAAACACACAAGCAGAATCACAACATCGCAAGAACAACCTTTTCAAGAAGATTAGTACTATTATTATTAGTATTACTACTCACAGGTCACAGTTACATCAACTGTTTCATTCAGCGTGTTATTCAGATGTTCTGTTGTACAGATGTACTGTCCAGAATGTTCTGGCGTCACATTACGGATGAAAAGTGTGGCTGATCCAGTGTTGTTCTGCAGGTCAGTATTAGGTTCACTGAGCAGGTTTGTGTTGGAACCAAGATTAGACCATGTGATATGAGAAGGAGGAAAACTTTCAACACTGCAGGTCAGATTCAGAGTTTGTCCCCACTCAACAGTTGTATTCCCAGTGATCACGGGTTTCTTCATATCTGTGAAGTAAATTTAAGTAAAATATTTAAAGTGAATATAAGATATTGTGTTGAAAGATTTTCGTCAAATTAAATAAATGAAAGTAATGATATTCAAAAGCTAAATTGTTTATATACATTACAAAACCTCACAATAATAATTGACCATAGAGCTAAATTGTGGAAATACCTGTCAAATATATAAATAGGTATTAGACTGACTTTTGAAATTAAAACAGTGCAGCCATAGTGCATGTGATACCCCTAATACTATATAAATGAGTCTAAATAATACAATACAAAAACCATAACCTCATAGTTTCAGTTACCTTATTAGTAAGATATTGTACAGTTGTACTTACATATCACTGCTACATCAACTGTTTCATTCAGCGTGTTATTCATATGTTGTGCTGTACAGATGTACTGTCCAGAATGTTCTGCTGTCACATTATAGATGACAAGTGTGGCTGATCCAGTGTTGTTCTGCAGGTCAGTATTAGGTTCACTGTGCAGGTTTGTGTTGGAACCACCAATAGTCCATGTGATATTAGACAAGAGGAAAACTTCAACTCTGCAGGTCAGATTCAGAGCATGTTCCACCTTAACATTGTAATCCCAGTGATAGGTTTCTTCATATCTGTGGAGTATATTTGAAATAAAAAAATTTAAGTTAATATGAGATATAAATAAAAGTGAAAAAAGGCAGCTTATGAAGTATATAGTATATTAAAAACAGGTAGATAGATAGATATAATAAAAACACAAATTATAACACAAAGTCACTGTATATGCAATAGTGTTTCATGCATTACCTGATTTAAAATATATATATATATATTACCACTGGAGGGTGCCACTGTCTAAAATTGTTCAAAATCTACAGACGGTGGCTGTAACAGACATCACAAGTTTCTATTATTCTAAACATGTGGCTCCAGTGAGGCTGAAAACCACCTGAAAGACTTTTCAGTCTCTCTGCAGGGCCTTTTGAAGATCTCCATTATTTCCATTAGAAACAAAAGCAACGACTATACTGATTTGTTCTGCAGTTAAAAAATTACATTAAAATGTACATTGAGATGGCCCTACATATATATTAAGAAACAGGGAAGTTATTCAGAATGAGTTAGGCAGGAGTCATATATAGCATTAGAAGAAAGAAGAAAAAACAAAAGTGAATTTCCTGTCTTAGAACAGTTACATACATATCACAGCTACATCAACTGTTTCCTTCAGGGTGTTGTTCAGGTGTTGTGCTGTACAGATGTACTGTCCAGAATCTTTTGTTGTCACATTATGGATGACAAGTGTGGCTGATCCAGTGTTGTTTTGCAGGTCAGTATTAGGTTCAATGTGCAGGTTTGTGTTGGAACCAAGAATAGACCATGTGATACGAGAAGGAGGAAAACTTTGAACACTGCAGGTCAGATTCAGAGCATGTCCCCACTCAACAGTTGTATTCCCAGTGATTACAGGTTTCTTCATATCTGTGAAGTAAATTTTAAACAAAATATTTGAAGTTAATACAAGATATTGTGATGAAATATTTTCATCAAATTAAATAAATAAAAGTATTGATATTTAAAAGCTGTATATACATGCTTGAGGTATTAGACTGACTTTCTAAAACAATGCAGCCATAGTGCATGTGCTATCCCTAATACTGTATAAATGAGTCTAAATAATTCAATACACAAAACATATATGAAAATGCAAAAGTGTTTGCATTCATGCAATGCCTGATTTTTATACATTTTTTATAAATACGACCACTGGAGGGTGGCACTGTCTAAAATTGTTCAAAATCTACAGACATTGGCGTTAACAGACATCACAAGTTTATATTATTCTAAACATGTGACTCCAGTGAGGCTGAAAACCACCTGAAAGTCTTTTCAGTGTTTCTACAGGATCTCCATTATTCCCAAAAGAAACTCAAGCAATAACAGTACATTTCTTCTGAATGAAACTAAAAATGCACATTGAGATGGCCCCACATATATTTGCAGGTACAGGGAAGTTATTCAGCATGAGTCCGGCAGGCTTGTTAAGGTAGTTCTCTGCTCTAAACCCATAGTTTCAATTACCTTATTAGAAGAAAAAAGAACAAACAAAAACAAATTTCAGATCTCAGAACAGTTTTACAGTTGTACTCACATATCACAGTTACATCAACTGTTTCCTTCAGGGTGTTGTTCAGATGTTGTGCTGTACAGATGTACTGTCCAGAATGTTCTGCTGTCACATTATGGATGACAAGTGTGGCTGATCCAGTGTTGTTTGCAGGTCCAGTATTAGGTTCACTGTGCAGGTGTTGTGTTGGAACCACCAATAGTCCATGTGATATTAGACAGAGGAAAACTTTGAACACTGCAGGTCAGATTCAGACATGTACCCCCACCTCAAAACAGTTGTATTCCCAGTGATTACAGGTTTCTTCATATCTGTGAAGTATATTTTAAACAAAATATTTCAAGTTAATATAAGATATAGCAACAAAAGATTTTTCTCAAATTAAATTAAAATAAATTAATATAACAATATTTAAAAGCCAAAATCTTTATATAATTATTATTAAAATCTTACAATATTAATTGACCATGTACTTAAATCGTGAAAATACCTGTCAAATATATACATGCATGCAAATATTAGTCTACTAGTGCATCTCAAGAAGTATTATAGTGACATTTTAAGAGTCCTACTGATATAAGAAAAGGCAGCTTATAAAGTATATAGTATCTTAATAAAAGGTATATAGATATAATATAGACACACATTATAATACAAAGTCACTATATGTGCAAAAGTGTTTCATGCATTGCCTGATGTTTTTTTGTTTTGTTTAAATAAATACTACCACTGGAGGGAGCCACTATCTAAAATCTACAGACAGTCTGGCAGGCTTGTAAATGTTGTTCTCTGCTCTAAACTCATAGTTTCAGTTACCTTATTAGAAGAAAGAAGAAAAAACAACAGGAATTTTCCTGTCTTAGAACAATTGTACAGGTGTACTTACATATCACAGCTACATCAATTGTTTCCTTCAGGGTGTTGTTCAGATATTTTGCTGTACAGATGTACTGTCCAGAATCTTTTGTTGTCACTTTATGGATTGTAAAAGTGCCCATTCCACTTTGTTCCTGCAGGTCACTTTTTGTTCCATTTTGTGTGTTTTTGTTAGGCAATTTAGTCCATGTAATAAGTGATGGAGGGAAACTTTCAACACTGCAGGTTAGATTCAAAGTCTCACCCTCCTTCACACTTGTGTTACCGGTGATTTTAACTTCCTTCACATCTATGAGACAAAATTATTATTTAATTTCAAACTTTCCTGTAAGAACACGGCTGAGGTTGCAGAATTCAACACAGCTAAAAAAAACACCAGAAATCACATGAGAGCCCAACTCTCTGCAAACATTTTAGATAAAAGATAAAGGGTGAGAAAACAGCACATTATTTTTTACTCACAGGCCACATTCAGAGTCACTGTCTCCTCTGTAGTGATGTTGTTTGTGAAGCTGACCTTACAGGTGACACTGGTGCTGTGGTGTTTAGCTGAAGGGTTAAAGGTCAAAGTTGAGCTGTGTCTCTGTGTGACAGGAGACTCAGTCTCAGTCTTGAACTCAGTGATGT